TGTATGTGTTGTAAACTGCCTGCAGTCCTGGAACCGTTGAGATAGGAATTGGATCTTGTTTACCGATGAAGTGCTTTGAGACTTGTTGCCTTTTGCCTCTTTTTCCCTCCAATGTGACCCCAGGAGGGGAGCAGCAGCGTGTATTTACTAAAGAGGAAAAACGTCTTGGAGCTGGGTTCTGGGGCTCCAAATACCTTGGTGTTCACATGTCATAATCTGACTTCTTGTTGAAAAGAGTCAAGAGTACAGAACACTCATTGTGTCTGGTAACTGGATCCTGTGGATGTATGGCAGGGTGATGTGGGAAAGTAATTCTTCCTCTAGCCATAGTTTATCTGCATTGTTATGATAATAGCCCTCAAGCTGCTGAACACCGGGTTACTCTGACTGACCAAAAAGCTGCTGGTTTGGCTGTATAAAGAGCCTTCTACAATGTCGATGCTCTGTCTGGACAGAGTATGTGGTGATTGATTGTACGGTGAAGCTGACTTATAGAGCAATACATGTGGGTAAAGGTGCCCCAGGGCCTGTTTGCCATGGAGGGAATACAAAGGGAATTCTTAACCTGCTTATTTTTATAGTGGTTTTCCTAGTTCTTGCCTAAATTAGATTTTTCTCCCCTTAACCTCGCTGATGTCAGTAGCTCAGCCTCTGCAACTAGCATTAGCCACTGCACCGCGGGGATCTGTTTGGAGCAGGGCTGTGTGGCGTTGACAATGAGCACCACCATGGGGTGCGTGGCAATGCGAGCACCAGGCTGAGCTAGTGGCTGCGGGGAGGTTGGCAAGGAGGAATAAAACAATTACGAAGATGTAGTGGTGGTGTCTTCTGAACTGGCAGCTATTGCATTACTGCAAAAGCTGGCAGAGGGTAAGTCATTCAACTCCTTTATGTCTGGTTGGAGAAGGACAAGGCTCAATCCCTGCTCTGTTAGCTCTAAGCCGGGGATTAGAAGCATCAGTGCGCTTGGACCGCCCTGTGAGAAATTACCTGGGTACTGGGTGTTAACTCGGTTACTGATGGTTTAAAGCATGCAGATGCTCAGCCCAACCTCGTCTTCACCTTCATAAATTTCAAGCTTGGTGATTTACAGAGCTTCGGAGGACGGCTGGGAGCCCCGCCGGTGCCCTTGGCAGCAGAGGATGACGAGGCAGCTGTGAGGCAGCAGCGCCATCTTGAGTCGCTGCCCTCAGCCGCCCTGCGGGCAGCTCGGTTGCTGCTCCACTCCATGGTACCTTCTAGTCTTCAGTCACTTGTTTTAAAATGACTTGCCACTTGAGTGTTTTACACGTTTGTGGATTATTTTTTTTTAATCTGTTGCCTTTATTAAATGTGTTTGTTCCAAGGCAGCCTTATTGCCTGCTGTCAACACTATGCTGTTCTGAAACTGCTTTTTTTTTTTTTTTTTTTTGTCGGCCTCCAGCTTTGGTGATGATTTACTGACCTTCCCAGCTTTTTACCTTTTGTGATGAGTGATAATTAAGGAAGCAGCATTTTGATTTGATTTCCTGTTCACTTGGAACTGTCTCAAATACATGCCCAGAGACCCACCAGCAGTAGTACAGCTTTCCTAGATTTCCAGAGAGCTTTTTGCAGGTTTCTGCATTCCACATTATTATACTTGCTCCTTCTAAATATTTTGAGATGATTCCTACTCTTGCTCCAAGATACTTGTCACATGAGAATGATGGGTTATGCATTTCTTTATTTTTTTTTTAGTAAGACCTCAGACAGGTGAGTGTCTGAGCCCCAGTCCTCAGCCTTGCAGTATCTTAAAATAGACATCTCTTGGAGAACGTCAGTGTGCTAACTCAGAATCACTTCCACTTCAGTTTCAAAATATTGAACATGATACCTTCCACGCTTCTGTCATGTGAATTCCTGACATAAATATCTCTGCAAAATGGTGGAATACAAGTGGCGTATTTTCATGAAGAAACAGTGGGGATGCTGCTGCCTTTGAAGCGTATGCAGCTAAATTAAACAGAGAGCGCCCTTTTATTCCTACCATCTACCTCCCTACTGCAGTTCTCAGTTCCTGCCCTTTTTAGGGGTGTCCTCTAAGCCAGTTTCATCTGATAAAATATGGGGTAGATGTAATTGTTATCTTTGTGGCTGATGCGCCATGATGTGTAGAAGCTGCCGGTCAGCTCTGAGGAACAGGGCTCATGCCTTTGAGTCACAGTTCCAGGCTCTGTTCTTAGACTGAGAGTAAAGTGTGCCTTTGGCTTGCAGTTAGGAGGACTGGTGGGTACACAATGATGTTTTAGTTGTTTAGGGTTAAAGGGACAAATGGGAATACTTTCTCATGCAGCCCAAAGTCAAACCGTGAAATGTATTGCTGTAGAATGTGGTAGGGAACAAAAGCATTTATTATTTTTATTTTTTTAAAACAAGGGGCTGGTTAAACAATGGTCTGATGCATCCAATAACTCAGGGAGATTTTAAGTTGCTGTAAAAAAAAGAAAGTTACGCCAAGGAAAGATTACTTTCCTGCACACTCAGTCTCTTCAAGAATATGCTAATGGTCAAAGATTGAGAAAATACATGCTGGGTTAGGTGGAACGCTGATCTGATCTCATGGGGTGTGATTTACTCTGATAGTTGTGAGCTAAATTCATTTTAAAAGCAGTCTCAAACTTATCTACAAATCTGTATCTGCATGCTAGATGTGCACATCCTCTACTAATTGTGGCATAACTGCTTAAATGCTGCACCTTCTGCAGGGGTCGGCTTTAAGAAGATAAACAAAGTATTCTGGCTTCAGCCTTTTCTAAATGTTGCCTTGGATGCTGCAGAAACAAACTGTTGAGATGGTCCTGTTAAGCATGATTGTTCAGGGACAGTTTGCCTTGTTTGTTGATGCTTATGGAAATGTAATAATTACATACATTTGGAATGGAAAATAGCATTGCTGCTTTCTAGCCAAGTGATGCAGGACTAAGAAAATTCCCAGTGCACTCTTCTGTGTGCATGAGCAATCCTGTGGAAAAAATAAGTGGGCTACCAAATACTAGAGAGCCACATAAATTAGATCAATAACGAATTTACCTCTATAACTCAAATGTAGGTCAATGTGTTGAAGTAGTTTCATTATTCCTAGATGCTTGAATTGGTAGGGCTTTTCCATGCCCCTTTCCCTATCACTCGTATTAGAAGGGCGAGGAGGTAGTCATGGAAAAAGCCTCACCTCCTCAGTACGAGCATCCCTACCTGAATGTAATGAAGCAGAAACCTAAGCTGTAGGTGCCTGCCATTTGTAGAAACCGTCCATCAGGGATGTTGCTGTGTAAAGGTGATGCATTTAATATTTTTATTATTATTATTATCTTATTTTATTTTATTAGAAAAACTGAATGGGGAAGGAAGGGTGATTGCTTTTTCCTTTCACTAATTTGTCACTACCTAAGTCCCATCAATAATCTACAAAGTACATCAACAAGCAGTGCATGTTGCCATTAAGAGTAGCACAGAATATCTGTGGTGTTTTTTCTGATCAGGACTTGTAACTGTATTCAGTTGCTGACAGAGTATCTGGATCCTTAAGATGTAACTGGACAGGTGTACAAAAATAAGAAAAGAACAAGTCTTGCTGGGAGTCCCACTTAACTGCAACACAGCTACAAGTGAAATGTTTAATGTCCACAACAAAACCTGAGCTCTTCATGCTCTGTCTACAAAGGAAAATTGTAGGATAACGAGATTTTTAACTAAGACAGTAAATCACTAAAATGTTTTAAAGTAAGAAATTTCCCTCTTGATAGTCTGATGGGTTTGGGAAATATGCCACAAAATATAAAGCAGATACTGCAAGGGAAAAAGAAAATCTTCAAGTTTTGTTAAATTTCTGCTTTGAGCATTTTTTTCCCTGCATCTGCAAAGCTCTTGCTATTTCCCTATGTCCCAGTTTAGAAGTGCAAAGTGATTCATAATAGAAAATAATATTACACTAAGGTTACTGATGGGAAGGGCCTGAAAAAAAAACAAACCCAACATTGACAATTAAAAAAAAAAAAAAAAAAAGACGCTCCTGATGACATGTCACCATTATAATCTCTGGAAATAGCTGAAACAATGATGTATTGTGTAGATGCATTCCGACACATTAATTATAAACCCTACAGCTTGTTTTTCTACCTGTGCGGCTCTGCCTGTCTCTGCGCAATCTGTTTTTATCAGGTGTGCTGTGCTCCATGCTGTTGTCCTCTTCCTAGTGCCTGACCCTCTGCAACTTGCTTTTTATTCTTGGAATAATCTCCCCCTTCCTGTTTTTTTTTTAGATGTCCCCCCCTTTCAACCTGACAGCCTCCACTTCTTCCTGTCCCCAAGATTTTTGTTTTGTGGCGTGTTTGTCAAAGCTGAAATGTAAGCGCCCTGTGGCAGGCCAGCATCATCTTTTATGTGTCTGTAAGGTGATGTGCATTCTTGCAGTGCTATCTAAAAATAAATGTGGTATTAAGTTAATCATTAGTTTTCCTTTTGAGGCTGAACATAATAAAAGTATTGCTTGCTTCCTAACAAGACCATGTAAGCCTGAGCGCTTTACGCAGTGCTGTCTGCCAAATTGCTTGGCTGCACTTCGAATGCTTTCTTGTCCTTTTCTTCTCTAGGTAGGAGCTCACAGCCAGAGTTCAATTAATCTTCATCTGAGGAAAAAAAATCTTAATGCATTAGTATTTATTATTATTTTTAATCGAGATAGCTGGCTGAGAAAGAGGTCAAGCTTTATCAAACAGGGTGACCTGGTATCCAGTAGTGACAGATAAATGTGTGTAGCCATAGGTGGGAGCGTTATAGCAGAGGTGGGCTGGGTGTGAGTGAAAAACCCGCACATTTCAGTTATCCACACTCAAGCCTGGTGATGCTGGACGTATGGGGCTTGATTTTCCAGTCAAATAAAGGGGATCCTGGCTCTGTGCGATTGCAGTGATGAAGTAGTACAGCTGCTGCTCTTCAGCTATTTTCCTGCCTTAAACAGAGGTCACTCACACAGAGACCAAAACAGAACCCACGCTTTTTATTTTTTTATTATCATTTCAAGGTATCTTTAGCAATTTCACGTCATCTTCCACGCCAAGCGCACCTCACATCACCGAGGACTCGCCATAAACCTTAAAAAAAAAAACACAAAAAACCACTCCTTGCATCATCCCTTAAATCTCCACATGAACATCACGTCATTTACCAACCCCTTATTACACAAAAAGAGCAGTTTGTAGAGGCCGAACCTCAATAATTAAAAAAAAAAAAAGGGGAGGGGGGGGCGAGAAGCGCTGAGGCGGGAAACCTCCCCCCCCCCCCCCCCCTTTCACCCCCCCCTCACCAAGCCCGCAACGGCCTCCCGCGAGGCGTGCGCGCGCGCCGCCCGCGCGCCGCCGTGACGCAGCCGTTGCCCCGGCAACGCCCCGCCCCCTGCTCCCACCGCCCCGCTCCCCCCCCTCCCCTCCCGGTTCTCCCCCCCCCCCCCCCCTTTCTCCCTCCCTCCTCTTTTCCTTTCCCCTCCCCTCCCCTCCCCGTCCCGGTGCGGCGCGGAGCGGCCGGGAGGCGCCCGGTACCGTGAGCGGGAGGCGCCGCCATGGTGCTCATCAAGGAATAGTGAGTGCGGGCAGCTCCTTTTCTCTCCCCCCCCCCCCCCTTTTTCCTTTGCTTCTGGCCTCTGAGGAGCGGCGGGGTGCGTTTTGGGGGGGGGGGGGGGAGAAAAATAATAATAATTAAAAAAAAAAAAGGCCCGGTGCCGGTGTGGGAGGGAAGGACGGGCGCGGGGGGCGCTGTGTGAAGGTCACGGAGGCGGCTGTGAGGTGAAGGAGCCCCCCCCCCCCGCCTCGCAAGGAACCGGAGGCCACAAGCGGGGCCCGGCCTCCCGGTGCTGCTCCCCCGGGCCCGGCGGCGCCTCACGGTGTGTGGGGAGGGCGGTTTAGGGCCTGCTGTGCCCCCCCCCCCCTTCTCTTTTTGGCCTTTCCTTCAGCACCGGCTGGGGCCGGGTGTCCCCCACCCGGGGGGAGCCCTCCTGGGCCGGGCTGCCAGGGCAAGGGGTTGGGGTTTTCCTCACAGGGACGCGATGTCAGGGATTCTGCCCCCATCTAAATGACAAGCTGGGTGTTTTATCGCCCTCGTCCTTTCCTTTAGCCGTGTGGTTTCTAGCTAGGAACTCAACGAGGACTTCAGCGTGGCGGAGAGCTCCGAAATAACGTCTGGGTGCGCAGCCCTCACCTTGGAGTTGGGCGCCGTTGCTGCGGTTGTTCTGGTGGAAGGCAGGCTGCAGGCAGGCCGGCGGATCCGTCCCAGCTGCGTGGAACTATTAGTCACAGCGCTGTGCCCAAGCCTTTTGTTCGGCACCTTTCTGCCTGCTAACGTGGTGTGCTCTTTTGGACCGGTGCACTTTGGTTAGGTGGCTCGGAGCTGGGCGCACCGCTGCACGGCTCAGCCGGCAGCTCTCAAGGCTCGGATGTTCAGTTTACATTTGGTTTCCCTACGTGCATCCTGGCCTTTTAAACTTCTTCAGACTGATAGAAAACACTTATTTCCCCCCTCCCTCTTCTTTTATGGAGGGATTGCTCTGATCCCAATGACAAAGTGGGTTTTCAGGTCTTCTCTCAGACACATATACCTACATGACAGTGTCCTCCTTGTAGCAGTTGCTTTGTCAGATTGTGGATGCGCTTTGGATCTAAGTATTAAAACTCTGAGGAAGGTTGTGCTGATCCTTGTAGTTGTCTTTAAGCTTGAATAACTTCCCCCCCAATCTTTAAACCTGTGCTATTTTTATCCAACAATAGGGGTGTAGAATTTAAGAGCTGGTCACTGTAACACAGAGGCACTGTTACCTTCTGTAGTGCTAAACTGGACAGCAAACAGAAGCACGGGCTGAGCACTTAGTTTCAGATGCATGAAAAGCTAATTAATTTGTTCTTCTATAACATCTATTTCATTGAGATTACCCTATTAATTTAGTTGGTTAATGTACTTTGCTTCTTACAGCACCTGTCTGGTTTATTTCTATTCAAATTCATGTATGTTTCCTGCTTCTACTTTCCAGTGTGTTGCCCTGTACTGCAGTGAAGCTCACTTGCCAGTGAGCTAGGTTGCATACAGAACATCATGTAAAGATGGGAATGTCGGTACTTTAAATTGTCAGACTTCTGAGTTTAAAGTCTATTTTGATAAGGATCACTTCCAAAAATCATTTTTCTTGTTATTGTCATTTACCTCACCAAATCAGTATACCTACTGGTCTTACATGCTGCTCCTTCCTAAAAGAAAATGCAGAGTAGATGTTTAGACTGAAGGTTAAAAGAGCAGAATTACTGAATTTCTGTCTTTTTACAGGCTTCCATTTCTTTTTTTCAGAAGGGTTGGCAAACCTTTTGAGTCTTGTTAGCTATATTGTCCTGTTCCTTTTCTCTCCACTGTGTCTCTGTTAAGACGTCCTCACGTGGCTCTAAGGACAGTCAAGGTTGCTGCTGCCCATTAAAAACTTGTGCATTGACTTTGGATTTCTTGGGATTCCCAACTGGCTCCAACAGTTGCACAGTCAGAGTTGTGTCACTGTTGGTTTCGGTATTAATCATCCTCGACATTGTGTGTAAAAGTCGCCCATCTTGCATGCTGTTGGGGAACTCTTGTGTTCTAGGAAGCGGTTATTTAAAGCGTATGGAAACGACTTCTTTTGGCATGACCTGGATAGTCAAAAGCATTCTGTTGCCTGTGTTTAGTTCTGGTTGCCCCAGCACTGCAGTCAGGTACCTTGCTGCCTGCCTGCTGCTGTAGGTGGCAGAAACACAGGCGAGCTGTGTGCCATCTGAGCAGATTGTTCTTCCACCGCTGTGACCCCTCGTCACATCCGCCCTACTAAATCAAATGGGTATTATTATGGGCTCCGTAGGTATTTTAGGAGATATTACAGATATAGAGCAATATAACAAAAAGCCTGTATCACATCTTTTATTCTCAGACAATCTGCATCATCTGTCTTTTTCTGTGCAGCTTCTCTCACTGGTGGTTAGGCAGTGATAGCTTTAAAGTTTTCCTTTCATGTCCTATCAATCTTTCAGACTTATCTTTCATTTCTACCTATCCATACTCTGGATAAGCTGCATGGTTGGGTTTTGTGCGTGGGTGAGAGGGTTGTTGCGTTTTGGTTTTGGTTTTCTTTGTCTCTTTGGTTGGTTTCAGCTGCAAAGTTTGTAAGTGCTGGTTAAGATCTTGCATGCTTGCACGCTCTCCCTATTTTGATTTATACTGCATCGGAAGACCTTGAGGAGAATCTGAGTATAGAGAGTCGCTTCCCTTTCCTGTGAAGTGACGATAATGACACTGACCTTCTCTGCAGCTGTACTTCCCTTTGCTGTCATTTCAGGCATATTTTAATCTAGGAAGAATCTTAAATGTTCTTTACCATTTTCAGGCCTTTGATGTGGCAGGCAACCACATCATATAATTTCATGTCTTTTGGTCAAGTTCTGTCCCAAAGTTAGGTGTCTTTGTTCCTCTTGCTGCTTCTGGGAGGCTTTTCCTCTGGATGCTCTTGAGTAGTTTTCCCTCCTCCTCCTTTATTGCTTGATGGCCTATAAATGTTAGTCATCCCCCGCGTTCTTTGTTTGCTAGGCTAAACAAACTGTAAACTATTTAACTTCTATGTTTGTTTCTCTGTTCGTGCACATCAAGCTATAAGATAATATTCAGATCTAGTGACTTCCAGTTTCTTACACAGAATTTTGTTAGCTTATATTAATCTTTTTATGCCAGGTTTTCTAAAGACCATTTTTGCACTTCATTCCAAAGCCAACGTTTCTTCCCTGTTACTTGGTTTTTCACCTTTATTTATCATCCTGTCCCTCTTTTCGTTCTACTGTAGTTTTATCCAATTAACTAAGCTAATATTGTGTTTGATGAGGTGGTCTGCATGTGGAGAACCATTCTCCATTTTTTTTCTCCTCCCTGGTGTACAGAATACCATACTGAATTGGACTAAAGGTCCTCTTCCATCTTGCTTTCTAGCAGATATTTTTAGGAAACAATATATAAATAGGGAGTAGAATGATTGTTCTTCAGTGTATCCTTCCAGTAAGTGGTATATGAACTTCCATGAATTGATCAAAACCCATTTTCAAATTGCCTCTTGTGTTTGGCAAGGAATCTCATAACTTAAATACGCGTGATGTAACCAAGTACCCTTGATTGGTTTAAAATCTGCTACCTAATGATTGTTATTGCATCCTGGGTTGTTCTGTTGTAAGACAACAGTCATTGTTCCTGCCCCATTCATTCTTCAGCACCATTCATACTCTCTAACACCCTGCCATACCTTCCCCCTTCCGCTGTCCTTTCTTCCACCATGAAAAACCGAGTTAACTACATCTCAGGTAATCATTTTTGCCCTCCTTTTGTTCAGTGTCCTCATTGAGGTGAGGCGACTGGAACTATTTGTGTGCCGCATTCAAGGTGCAGATGCACAAGAGATTGCAGTGGTGTAGCCGTCATTTATTTTTTGTGTAAATATTGTGTTCCAATTTTTACTGTTTTATTTATTTCTGAACTGACACTGAACTGATGTTTTCAGATGTTTTTCTGTAACAGCACCAAGGTTTATGTTGGTGATAGCTAGTCTGGGGCTTGTTACCCTGTGTGTTTGGAGAAAATGAGTGCTTATAATGCATTATTCGGCTTCTGTTGATGCTGAACTTCATCTGCAGTTCTCAGTAGCTTTTTCTGCAGTTCTTTGCAGCCAGCATAAAGCATTGCTGTCATAAATAATATTGCATAATTTGTAAACTTTTGTCTCTCTTACAGTTTGTTCTTGTGGTATCTGGCTGGTAACATTCCTCTAGTGTAGGAGAAAGCTTCAGTTTTCACCAGTAGTGCTTTTCTGAAGATCAGTTCAGCCATAATAAGGACTTTCTTCTTATCCCATTATAACCACATTTGTTTGAGACTCGTTATGAAAGAAATGGGATTTCTTCTACCCACAGAAACTCGGTCCATTTCATATCTGTGTATTGCTCTGGTTTCCTGTTTCAACATCACCCTTACTGAAAGCAGAAGTTGAACACAAATCTAGTTTTGGAGAAACACATAATATTTCAAAGTGCCTTAACATGCACACATCTTTCTCAGCTTTAAATTCAGGTTTATTCTTGTCTTTTCAAAAAAATCTCTGGTCTAGAGAGCAAACACTGCCAAAGTCACAGTCAGTTGGTTCGGCGAGGCATTCAGGAAACCACAAGTGACTCATGTATGGAAATGGCAACACCTTCTTTTCAGTCAGCGCTGAGGAAGCCTTCCATATACTTCTCTCTTCAGTGCTGCTTCCTATGGGATGGGATGTATAAACAAGTCTTGCAGTGACTTGTAACTATGACAAATCGGCACCAAGTTGTTGAAGCACATAGCAACGCTCCGTACCAACTTGACGGGAAATAAGATGTGACTATTGAAAGGATGTAGTGAGAAGGAACATGCAACTATTTTGATTCTGTGTGGGTTTGTCGGGTGGCAAGATATTACCACTAGTTTTGGTACAGGATTGCAATTACGCTATATCATGTACAGATTCTCCTTCAGGCTATTACATAAGGAGTCTTGGAAGTAAAGAGTAAGTGCTAGGAACGCTAGGGCTAGAGGGATGCTGGAGAGATGGGGGAGAGGAGAGCTGAGCAGTCCTCGCTGGGAGGAGTGTGCCATCTCGGTGTTGCAGCTGCGTTTGTTAACTTTCCATTTCTGTGTTCTCTTTCAGCCGCGTTATCCTGCCCGTGTCTGTGGAGGAGGTAAGTCCTTTTCTTGTTGCTTCCTTTCTTTAGGACTGTAAATAAACCTGTGATCAAAGCAATTTGAACAAAAACTGGAAAATACAAGAGACAGATATAGCTGTCTCCGGGACCTGTGTGTGTTCTTACTCTTACACAGTCGCTTTGGCCAAACAATTTCATTCCTTTAAGCCTGAGGGTACTGATACTCTGTCCTATAAAGTACTTTCAGATCTGTTGATAACAAGTGTTGACTTGTCAGACTGTTCTAAAGTGTAGTTTCCTTTTGATTAATACCATTGTTCTTTTTTTATTCTTTCTTTTTTTAACATGAAGAGGAAGTTTTAATACAAATTTAAATTGCCCTGTGTTTTCCTAGAACTCCTTTCTTGCTCTTTGTCCACGAGTGTAAAGCAATTTCTTGTTTTGTGAGGGTGGTATAGCAAAGGAAAGATTGTGTATCTACGTCTTAACGCTTTTTAAGACTATCTTATCTAGATCTTGTAGAAAGAAAGCTTTCTTGTTCTGTAGGTAAAGCTCTAATCGAAAGGAGAAATGTAGTTTATAAAGGAGGTGGTGATTTGTGTCACCAAACTGGCCACAGAGTAGCTGTGCAGTGTGAGCTGATTCCTGTTCTTGTCTCTGGGAGTTGCAGCTTACCTTTCCTTCCTCCCTTTTTTGTCACTGC